AAAAGATCGGCGAGTCTCGCTTTTCATCGTGTTTCTAAAGCTCGTACACATACATTTTATATTACAATGTACATATATATACTAGTATATAGTATATTTATCCACACAAAGAAATAAAAACACTTCTTTTTTACATGTATATAGATATACTTTTATACTTGTTCTAAAAACTCCTTTTAAGACTGTGAAACTCCTCGGGCTTTTCCTGACGCCTAGTATGTGAGCAATATGTCCCTCAGGGCTTCAAAAGGCAACTATGTTTATTCTCTTTCAGTCGTTTTGTCTCCGAACTTGTAAATGTAAATTATTTCCAACTCAAATCACACCAAAAAAACCACACTACCACCGAATACCCATGCAAGCGTAAATTAACACGAATATAAAATCTAAATGATTTCAAGATCAAGCTATTTCAGTCTCATTCTGCCGTTTGAAAAATAATTAATCAGTCGTTTGCTTGTAAATTTCGAAAGAAAAAAATTGTAACTGAACCAGTCTGACTAGAGCAAGCCCGAACTATCAACTTGCGTTTATAGACGCAAGTGGATACTTGGAGCTGGCTTTAATCAGACTGTAACGGGACCTGAATTTTTTTTATTTTATTTTTGCCGAATCAAGTTCCCATGTATTTCTCAGCCTACGTTAACTTTCTCAGGCCTCATTCCGATGTTGCTGTCTGCCCTGTGTAGACTTGGTCTATAGGGTTACAAAGCTAGCACTTTATTTTTAAAATGTTTCCGAAACTATATCGGATTTACTCTGTATAAACCAATGATTTTCAGAGACTGTTTACACTTGGAACATAGGGAAAGTTATTCGGCAAAATAAGCAAGTTAAACCACGTTTTTTACATTCCATACTAACAAACTACTTTCTGTATGAGTATCAAAGTCTGCTTATATTGTGCTTTTTCGCCTAATTCTATCAGTATTCTCATTCCGATAAATTTCCTTGTTCCATTTTGCCCGAGCGGTGTTTTTGACGACCATTTTAACATAAATTAATAGTTGTTTTTTCACACATCATCCCAAGTGTCTATAGATTAGATTTCGACTTTCAAAACAAAATTTCATGGCGATACGGCGCGCATCATGAATAAGTATTTATTGCAAAAATAAACCAAGAATAAAATAAAGTGTTAAAACTCAGTCTGTTATGCATAAAAACATATATAAGATAAATCGTGCAGATGCTTAAATATTAAAGAAACACAATATTTAAAAGTAAAGTAATACATTTTTAAAGGTTAACAATGAGCAGAAGAATTGCCGGAAAACGATAAAGCAATCTATGTCAAATAAGTTAACCGTTACGTATTGCATCAAAACTCTCAGCACTCTACATCTAGGGAAAGTTACCGTTAAAAATGTCACATAATGAATTACCAAAAATATTTTTTTTTATTATTTAATCACTTTGTGATTGCAGAACCTGCTGCATTGGCTTGTATGTGTGAACGTTATTCGATAACGTAAGGAACGATAACTCGTGGCGTAACGTCATTCGGTATCGTTAATTCCGGTTTTGCATTACCAGCGTGTTTACAGACTTTGTGTTTATGTGGTTGTGTGTGTGTGTTTTGGGGTTTGCCTCAGTTCTGTCCGGTGTTGTATTGTCAGCTATTTTACATGTCTAGGTGTCCTATGATTGAATGTCACGGTGTTAGTGTCCCATATTCAAAACCATACGCTCCAAGAGAGTAGACACTAATATCACTACCACTCATCTGACTTTGGACAGGCGCTAAAATGCGGGGGGGGGGGGGGGGGGGGTGGTGAGATCTCAACCTTACCCGTATACCTCTAGCAAATGTGGAATAAAAAACCCATAGCAATACGCAATACGCACAGTAAAACTCAGTTTAAAAGAAGTTCGAATCCAGTGTTTGAATAGGTAACAGGACAAACTTAGCAAAATGACAATCGGATGAACATAAATTATTAAAGAACTACTAGCAGTTACTGACATGCCAGCTCCAGACCTCAATCAAACTGATCGAAAGATTATGTCTTCACCATATGAAAGTCGACCATAACCCTTATCATGTCAGTAATTGGTTTTAGAATAAATGTGTTTCTTTCCGATGCAAAGACCATATGATTGAATCAATTTTAATTCCAAAAAATGCCATCTTTAATGACTTGACATCAGTATAGTTGAATAATTCTGTTTAAAGGTTTGGTAAGCTTTCGAGGTGAATGACGACATTTTTGAGCCTTGTATAAAATATTACCATAAAAAATGGGACGTGAAATACATGAACTGAACGTATAAGATGTCTGCACGTTGATTTATATTTACGAATGTTGTCCTTGTACCGATGATAAAATTTGGTAAAATTGTTGACATGTTTCTGATATCGAAAACCCTGGTGTAATAATTTTCCAGTAATACATTTTTTTTTTTTGTTAAAATCAAATACGTTGTTACACACACGAGCGAATCGAATAAGTAGATATTTCTATAAACACCATACGATGTTACCAAGGGACGGTCATCATCTAAAAACGGATAATTAACAAAAGGAAATGAAAAAAAAACATCTCTTTTATCGTAAAGTTTAGTATTCAGCTTCCCGTTTGATATATCGATATATAGATCCATGAAAAGGCAATGCTCATTGTTAGTATATATTAGCTTTATTTAACGTAAGTTAAATAGGATAAATCTATTTAGTGTACATACTGAAGTCGTCATTATTGAGAGTCAAAATATCATCCAAATATCTAAAAGTGTTTTCAAATGTTTGTACCAGATGTTGTTTCGATAGGTCTTTTCTGATTTTACACATAAGTTGTGATTCTTAACAATACAGAAACAGGTCCGCAATAAGTGGTGTTCAATTAGTCCCCATTGGAATTCCGATATCTTGGTGATATGCGGAAGCGAACAAAAATGTTATCTAATAAAATTTCAAGTGCAGTTATCATATCACAGCAGGTCCAGTTGACATAGTTCTTTTGTTTATCTGAAAAAATTACCTAAAAGAGTTTGAACTTCTGACATTTAATTGAGGTAATCTTTATTCAGGTAAATCAATTTTTCTTAATGAGATTTTATGAGGCAAAGTGGTCAACGATTCATTGTCTGAGCAGGTCATTGATGAACCAGGGGTATGTCAAAGAACGTTTCGTCCTTTTTCTAAAAAAGTTTATCGGAAGGTACCAAGACCTTGTTGATAAATATTCCGTATCAACTTCACAAATAATACACGATGGTCTTGAAGTATAGATTCTGGGTACTGACGTTGATATCCATTTGACGTGGCTCTGTACTTATACATCCCGTCATTGTGTCATTGTTCGCTTATAATTTTTGTATTCTTGTCTTTCAATTTTTTGCTAATATGCTTTGTCTATATGCCTTTTTGTGCTTCTTTGTTACATATTTGTTTGTTTTTATAGTGATTAAGATTATAACACAATGTTGACTGCTGTACCCCTATTTTTGACATTTTTAACTATTATGTCTGTTTGTTTTGTTCACACATCGTTGTCAATATAATGGAATTTTATGCGACTGTCATACAAGTGAGAGGTTTAGCTAGCTATAAAACCAGGTTTAATTCACCATTTTCTACAGAAGAAAATGCCTGTACCAAGTTCAGTATTTTTGTTATTTTACTTTTTACACCTAATTGCGTTCTTTAAATTGTCCTTTCGATTTGGTTGACAGTTATGTCTTTCCGGCTCTTTATACAACACTTTTACACAACCTTATCAAACAAAAGTTTTCTTATTTGATTAAATGGTTCTTCGAAAAATCTAAATGCAATGAATTTGCCGTTATTCATAGTCTTCATCTGTAATGAAAAAGATAGATATGATAGAAAAACTTACTTGAAATAAGGTGACGGATGATTGAAGTTTTTCTTGTACAACTTCTATATATAAAAATATGGAGATGTGGCATGATAGCCAAGGAGACAACTATCTACTAGAGTGTATGTACGTTTCGGCAATAACATTTATCGACAGGTTACGTATTCCTTAATTAAAATATGCTTTAAATAATCTAGAGTTTTCTAATCATACTGCGGAATTTTCCCCTTTGAACTTAGTAATACTTAAATGAATCTTACAGAAACATCAATACTTGTTCTTTTCTTGATTTGAATATTTCAGTTTCAGACATAAAACTCTATTCTAAAGTTTAATGACCAAAAATACGATTTTTCGTTTCCTTTGTTAATTTTCCTTTTTCGGACAATTTTTTTTCCGGACTATAATAGCCTTTTGGTCGCTCCTTGTCTGTATATTCTTATTTGAGTCAATGGTCTTTCGGAAATTCTGAATGCCAATTCATTTGCCGTTATTCATTTATGGTCTTCTGTCCTTAGTTGTATATATGTTCTATATATCGGTTTTTGTCACCACATTGAATGACCGACTTAGTAACTTCGTGATGGGCCTAAGACCCTTAGACGCTTCGAACGTCCCAAAATTATAAAGTGTTATCTTAATTTTCTAGCACCGGGTTGATACCACTGGCAGTCCCTGAAGGTATAGTCAGTGTTTTAGAGCTGTCATGATTTATAACACAATCTTCATAAACTAAGTTTTCCGTTGATAAATATAGGAATAATTAACAAACTACGCGGGTTCCAACTCTTTCAGGCATAGTTGACTTTCGATGGATTTGGCCGGGGTATTAACTCATTTTAGGAATCCTTTGGTCATACAGCTCCTTGGCTTTCATTTTTTGGGGTTTAAGCGTTCATGAGGCAGATGAAGGTAGATCCAGAAAAGCGCTTTGGACGCACCAAGTTCATAATTTATAATTTATACTCATGTGGATGCATGAATTACTAAGTTTGGTCATAATGTTGTCTGTCTTTCACGACTTATGGTTTTTATTTTCTTGAAAATGAAAATAATACTTTATGAATTATGAAAGTGTTCAAAAGACTCACGTTTTGGGTTCATGCAGGTTTATACATATTTTCGATTGCATTCTGGTTATTGGCGAGACTGTTTTTTAGGTCCGTATTTGACTTTGAAATTTAGAGACCATTGTTTTATTTCCGGTGTAAAATTATGACCACGTAATCTTTATTTAATCGATTTGACTCTTACTTTCACAATGGGTGATGCTCCTCAAGAAAATCAAGAACAAGAGCCACCAGTAAATCGTAATCCAGAGTTCGTGACAGAAACATTTTCGTCTGGTATGGACTTATAATTTATGATTATGCAGTAGATCTAGGTCCATGAGTCCGTCATCCGTAATGTTTACTTTCAGTTTTAAACTTCACTGCTAGTCATCCTTTGTTACTTTGATGATCTATCCCTCAGTCATCAGGTAGGGACTTCAATTTCTTTTTGAACATGTCCAAAGTAGGCGCTGCGACAGTAGAGAAGGGAAGAGAGTTCCAAAACTTCACTACTCGAATTTGAGAAAAAGTTTTTCCTAACATCAGTTCTAGCAAAATGCTTTACTAGCTTATAGTTGTGACCTCTAGTCTGCAGTTCACTCATTGGAATGCATTGTCTGTTTTTGAATTATATTTGACATTTGTTGTGTGAATATATGTTTCACACATATCCTGTCTCTCATCTTCTAGATTCTTCTAGTGATTCTAAATTGAATGAATTGCTTGCCATACGAGTACACCTAGTCAATAGTTCTTGAGGCATAACGTTATAAAATTGAAATCCGTGGAATATTTAGTAGTCTTTCAATTTTGATAGATTTGGAATAAGTCATACAATTTCAGTAGGGTCTGTTACTTGGCATTCATTGGCATTTGTTGTTGATAATGTTATTTCTGCTAATCTTATTGTACAGACATAGATCCTCTACAATGTCATGAATGTCTACTTTTGATATGCTCAATGGCCATGATGGCAATTAAAAAGATTGCTGATAGGTTTCATGTTCGTTCTGGCCCAAAGCCTATCAAGCCAGAGTCATTCCTGATCCAGTCCTCTGGTGCAAGTAGATTTGGTCCATACTTCTAAATCTATGTGGATAATCTGCAGTTGGTGAAAATTTCCATAATACAGATAAACTATGTGTGTGTGTGTGTATCAACCAGCACCTGCCAGGTTAAGAATAAACAAAAACTATCACATGTATGTATTTACAAGAAAGAGAAAAAATATGTGATGTTAGCCACAACTGTACAGAGTTAAAATCAGGTATCCACAGTTAATTCAAGAACTCCCACAACGAGACAGAGGTCAGTTCCACTTCTGTTATAAATAATTTACATATATGGTTTACAATCATACTTTCATGACTTTCAGTACAAGCAATTAATTGTAAAACAGACCTCCATTGTAAGAAAAGCAAAACACAGTCATTTATGTATCTGGAAATGGTGGACCATCTTCAGTTACAGTTGTGCTATTATATTAAGCACACATTATATATATATTGTTTTCACTAGATTATATTACTTCAATATTTTAAATAGAGGCTACAGGTGGACAAAAGTTGACACAAATTATTAAATTACTAAGAACTAAAAACACAACTGTATAAATGTTCTTAGCCTCTAGCCTTTGTTAGTCTTGTATTATTTTTAATTTTAGTTTCTTGTGTACAATTTGGAGTTTAGTATGGCGTTCATTATCACTGAACTAGTATATATATTTGTTTAGGGGCCAGCTGAAGGACGCCTCCGGGTGCGGGAATTTCTCGCTGCATTGAAGACCTGTTGGTGGCCTTCTGCTGTTGTCTGTTCTGTGGTCGGGTTGTTGTCTCTTTGACACATTCCCCATTTCCATTCTCAATTTTATTTGTTAAGGGTACAAAAAAAGGCAAACACATCTTGGCAAATACCACAACAGAAAGGGTAAAAAGTGTACCCTGGAAATGATGAAATATGAAAAATATTAATCTTTTCATAGAAAATACATGAAAAATACACCAGTTATCAACCAATAACAATCCAGGATACTATAAAAGGTGTACCGTGTAATTATGAAAAAGATTTACATGCTTAAATTGATTAGAATGTATTTTTTTTTACTTTCTGAGCCCGAGTTCAGAAATCAGAAAGTTTCAAATTAAGAAATTTACAATCATTATATAATTTGATCTAAGGATTTCTAAGGGTTATAGAACTAATGAATTGAACTTAAGGAACCTGATCTTTTGAAATTAATTTTTCTGATCAGAAAAATTCTTCTGAAGAACATACTGTAAACCAGCTAATTTTCCCAACTTTTGCTATAAAAAGAATATAAATTGTTGCGAATATGTTAAAGTTGAATCTTCTTTTTAATGAACATTAAAAAAGTTAGAAAAGCTTGAAAGTAAATTTGCATAAAGTTCAGATATTTGTGAAAAAAGTGTCCTTGAAGATAAGTTGGTTTACTGTGTGTAGTTTTCACATCAAATATGTATGGATTGGTTGCCCTTCTTACCGTATTTAGTAATCATGGTGATATTACCTGAAACAGTATTGATAGTTTGCTCAATTTTTTTCAGTGATAGAATTTCTGCAGCAATATGGCTGGTTTGTTTTATTTGGTATTGTGGTTCTGATTTATATAAAGGTAAAGTTAGATCCTCATATCAGAAGAGTAAAGAAGAAAGCTGAAGATGTGATAGAACAAAAGAAATTTGGTGAGTAAATATGTCTTCTAGTTCTTTTTTCACCAACTGATTTTAATTTTTAAAATTTTCCAACTCAAAATTGAACATATTACAGTTGTATATTTTATCACAATAATTCTATATAGAGCCATTAAAAATGTTTTGAATGTGTTTTATGAAATTAATGTGTATACATTTTCATTTGTTACTATAGATTCTTTAAGTTTGTAACAGCTAAGGCATGCTACAAAAGATCCCAAAAATTGCATTATTTTTTTAATTACATATAAGTTTTTATTCCACCAGCTGAGTTCTTAAGGATATGTTTCCTTTCTTTTTGAGCTGTCAAAAGGTTGTGTACAGATACAGTATTGCAAGAATTACATACAGAACTTGTTATAATTTAGTGGGACTTTTTTTGACAGAGTTTTTGAATAGAATAAATTTTTTTGTAAGATAAACAAAATCAAAAGAATTCCAATAGAATTTTTAATGTATTAAATATCTTGTTGCTCAGTGCAGCCTTTTGGGGGTATATTTAAAGAGGAATAAATAGCAATGTTGGAGCAATGGGCACACATTATTTTATTTCAACTGATTAAATGAGTATTTTTTATTTGACAGATCCAGATGTGGCACAGAGACGTCTGGAACAGATGGAAAGATCCAGGCAGAGATTACAAGAACAGCATGATGCTGAAGCAGCTAGATATGCTGAAAAGCAGAGAATTGTAAGTCATTCTGAAGGATTTTGATTATTTGTTTCATTAACACAATACAGTAGTGACCCTTTCAGAAGGTCTAGCTACTCTTCATCAGAAAAAAATCTGATCATGTAATTGAAGAAGCCATTGGTTAAAGGGAATGTAATGCAGTTGACCCCCCACTCAGTCATTATTCTGACCCTTTGGATGTTTGGCAGACAAAATGTTGCTGAAGCAGCTAGATATACTGAAAAACATATATAGATATAGGAAGATGTGGTATGAGTGCTAATGAGACAACTCTCCATCCAAGTTACAATTTATAAAAGTTAACCATTATAGGTCAAGGTACGGCCTTCAACACGGAGCATTGGCTCACACCGAACAGCAAGCTATAAAGGGCCCCAAAAAATTACTAGTGTAAAACCATTCAAACGTAAAAACCAACGGTCTAATCTATATAAAAACGAGAAACGAGAAACATGTATGAACTACATAAACAGACGACAACTACTGTAATCAGATTCCTGACTTAGGACAGGTGCAAACATTTGCAGCGGGATTAAACGTTTTAATGGTACCAAACCTTCTCCCTTTTCTGAAACAATAGTATATCATCACAACATAGAAAAACACACTATAAAATATCAATTGGAAGGCTTAACTCAATCAAAAAACGTAAATTAACACACAATGAACGAATAAATTTGACCTGTGACACCTGAATGCAAATACACAGTTAATAAAAAATTACAAGGGATAAATAATTAAAGTCAAAAGTAAATAAACAGGTTGTCTTTCTGAAGAATTTTTAAACAATTTTGATTGCTTGTTTTGTTAAGTACAATACAATAGTGTCCTTTTCATAAGGTCTAGTTACTCTTCATTCGAAAAAAAAATGGGATCTTGTAATTGAGAAGGCCATGGTTAAGGGGGATGAAATGCAGTTGACCCCACTCATTATTTTTACCCTTTGGAAGAAGAAATGTGGCTTAACTGCTTATTTGGGGCAATAAATGATATAACTTGTAGGAATCCTTTACCAGTTTTATTAGCAATTTATTGGTTTCTCTTGCAAGTGTTCCTTCAATAACACCTAGAGGTGATTGAAAAATAAAAAGACAGCAAAATTTGACCATTGAAGTGATTTATTTACTCAAAAGTGTCCATTAAACTCATGGCCATTTGTTGAAAAGTATATTCATATACTGTAAACCAACTTATTTTCGCGACTTTCGCAAGAAGAAAAATTACGGCAATATAAATCGTCGCGAATATGTAAAACTTGGATCTTTCCTTAATTAACTTCATCAAGTAAATCAGAAAATAGCGAATTTAAATAGCCGGGAAGAGGTCAAGAAAGGGTAAAACGCGAAATAAAGTATCAGCAAAAATAAGTTGGTTTACAGTATCCCCATATAGCTAATTCATGGTTAATTTAAATATACCTGAAAGAAGAGAGTAAACCCCATGGTATACATCAAATTGCAGGAGAGCTTTGATTTGATAGGCCACCTTTATTGTACATACCACCCCATCCTAAATCCAAGTCTCTTCATGATTAATCACAAACCTGACAATGTAGTAGGACCAAGAACAAGTTTCTTAAAAGAGTGCCTATAAGCCTTACATAAACCAGCTTATAGAAGTTTGTGTAAAACTGATTGTTGCACCAGTAAGCATTTATTGGTAACTTTTTTCATGTAGACTACCACAGGTACACCCTAAAATAGGAAAGCATTGCTAGGCTGAAAGGAATAGCTTTATAAGGTAAACCACTGTACTTGAATCAATGAATAGAAACTTATTTCAAGACTGAATTTCCTTTGCGGAAGAGGTGCCCATATGAAAGAATGGGATACTCTTACGATAGACTTGGATTAGTAAGTGCACTGTTCGTCTATATAGCAAGTCACTGTATATAAGTAGCCCTTAACACATATCACTCTCATTAATGAAAGGGGGCATCGGTGGCAGAGAGGTCTTAAGTAGTCTAACTACTGTATCACTATCTTGTCAACACTGAGGTTGTGAGTTCCAATCTGGCAGGTGCGTTTGAATCCAATCTTAATTGACTAGGAATGCCAGTTTTCCTACCAAAGGTCATGGTTTTCTCTGGGCACTCTGACCTCCTCCACCAATAAAAACTGAGCACCACTAAATAGCACAATAGTGCAGAATTGGTGTTAAACACCAATCAATCATTGAAAGAAGGTTATATATAAATGAACTCTTGAGTAAAGTGACATGTTTTTCTTTCTTTTCTGTTCTTTTTTTATTGGCTTGACTGCCTTGAGTTTTAAACAGGTGTTTTATTGTACATGTTTTAAATAACTCTTTAATGGTATTTCAGAAAGAGGAAGAAAAAAGAAAACTAAAAATAGAAGATTGGGAAAATCACCAACAAGGAAAGGGTTACAGATCTAAAGTTAAACCAGTAAGTTCATTTCTTTAAACTTGTAACTTGTATTACCAGTATAATATATTTATCCAATTTGACTAACATGCAGGTTTGTTTTCAGGACCTATTATACTTATTAAAAATGTTTGACATGAATTGTGTATGGTTTGTACTAAAAATGTTTGGAATGAATTGTGTATGGTTTGTACACCTTAAAATACAACATAGAACTTGCTGTAACCAATCCATGTGTTTTTACAACCTTGAGTATCTATGTGTTTGAGCTTGCCTATTTCTAGTACTATCATTATCTGTAAACAACATAAACAAGATGGGCAAACAGAAATCATATTTGTTTTTTAGCCCACATTTTGTGTTATCACTTTACATATAGTGTTGTCCTCTTTAAGGTGTTAATTATCACCATGGTCACCTAGCTGATCCTGTTTTTGCAGCCTACCTTAGCATTTAAAAAAAAACTGAAGAAAGATGTTCAAGAATTTCCTTTTCCTTAGGTAGTCTCTGTATAGTCCATAGTTGCCTTGTGTTATGAAGATGAGGACATTGTTCTTGACCCTCATTTCTATGACTTTCTGAAATCCATGTCTAAATTTTCCATGATATTGTAAAATTTTCAGAAAGTGAATATCTGAATCTAATATGAATTGGCTGAAAATTCCTCGATTGAATGAAATGGAATGTGGAGGATACATCAAAGGAGACAGGAACCCAATGACTAAAATATTTAGACTTGATGTTGGTCTATAATCAGTTTATACAATTATATTGGAACTCCGTATAGCAGTTGAATAACTCTGAAATATTTGCATTCAGTATTACTGAATATTTGTAAATAAACTGAAGGATCACTTTTAACATGTTAAATGTGTTGACAAATTCATTGCAAAGTACTCATGCCAGGTTAAAAAACAAACTGGTACATTTTGTCCTTGGCCTGATATTCAGGGACAGTTTCTGAATGATTAATACCCAGTTTTAATGATTAGGGAAATTCCTAAATTGTCAACTATATACATTTGTTTTGTAGTAATCTGTAAAACTATGTTTTAAGATGTATAAATTAGTAAATGTTGTATTTATAGTTGATTGATCTTAGTTAAAAGATTATATAGATAAGATTTTCACTTGCCTTAAGTGATAGGTCATGGTAATTGTAACCATGAAAGATATGTATTATAACTTTCAAAATGATATTTGATTCAAACATGAGAGTTATATTTTTATGTTAGTTAAATTAATCACAAATACATGTATACACAACAAACTTGGGAGTGAAAACTTCTGATTTGCATCAACTCCAAAGGTATTACATCAACAAAATCAACAGAATCTTGCCTTGCAATACACACATTCCTAGGTTTTATCAAGTAGAAAGCATCTAGGCCAGGAACATGACAAAAACAAATATAAAGACAGAGGGACAATACCACTGACAGATTTGAAATATCTTGACACAGCTCAGATCAATCAACTTTTGAGGAATCTGTCAAACTATTTAACGGCATACGATACAGTACAGGTTAGATGATAATGTTGCTAAAATAAAATGTTATTTTTTGCGACTTCAGACTGTGAAATATTTGAAAAAGGTGCATTTTTAGACTGGTTTAAATCATTGAAATGAGACAGTAGGTCATCTATATGTGGTGTATGGAATGATTTTAATGGGTACATGTCAGTCTGGCGGGTTTCATTTAACCTTGACCTCATTTTCATGGTCCATTGGTCAATGTGTAGTTTTTGTTTTTGGTCTGTTTTTCAAGTACTATAAGCAATAGGTCAACTATATGTGGTGTATGGAATGATTGTAGGGTGTACATGTCAGTCTGGCAGATATCACTGACATTGACCTCATTTTCATGGTTCATTGGTCAATGTTAAGTTTTTGTGTTTTGGTCTGTTTTTTCATGTTCTTTAAGCAATAGGTCAACTATATTTGGTGTATAGAATGGTTGTAAGGTGTACATGTCTATCTGGCAGGTATCATCTGACCTTGACCTCATGTTTTTGGTTCATTGGTCAATGTTAAGTTTTTGTGTTTTGGTCTTTTTTCAAATTCTAACAGCAATTGGTCAGCTATATTTGGTGTATGGAATAATTGTAAGGTGTACATGTCTGTCTGGCAAGTATAGTCTGACCTTGACCTCATTTTCATGGTTCATGTTTTTTGTCTGTTTATCAATTACCATAAGCAATAGGTCAACTATATTTGGTGTATGAAAAAATTGTAAGGTGTATATGTTTGTCTGATAGGATTTATCTGACCTTGACCTCATTGTCATAGATCTTTAAAAATGATAAGTTTATATGATGCTTTTAGTAAAACCTTTATCTTTAAGACTTTCAACATTAAATCAATGGACAGTAAAGTAGGCGAGACATTTCAGCGTGTGCACTCTTGTTTTTCAAAAATCAGAAAAATTTAATAAGAATGTGGTATTTACAAAGAATTGTTACATAAATTTAAGGCATACTTATATAAAGAAGATATCTCAAAGGTTTTTACAAAAATACTTTTAAGTTTGTCTTTCAAAACAAACAATCTAGGTGTGTCTGTCCAAAAGATAGAAATGTCCAAGAAACTAAAATTTTGAGCAAATGTTAAAAACAGCAACCCTATTTATCTCTAAAAGTAGAACATGTAATAAAATTGAGAATGGAAACTAGGATTTCGTCAAAGAGACAGCAACTCATCCAAAGAGCAGAAAACAGCACAAGGCCACCAATGGGTCTTCAACACAGCGAGAAAATTCCGCACTCGGATGTGGGCTTCAGCTGTATATTTGTTATTATGTATTTGAATTGACTAGGTGAAAAATAGCTTGTTTTATAACTTTTGTCAAACACTCACAGTGGGATGAAAACTGTATTGTAAGGCCTGAAGTTTTAATATCAGTAGATTACCACACCATTGTGCTGTAGTAGTTTTTTGAGTTGAATAAGATTTTGAATTACTGTGTCATCAGTTTGAATGTTAGGTTGCACATTATTTTAAAATTTCCTAAAAATGATATTCCTTTCCTGAAAATATAATACAAAACAAGTCATTGCTTTTGTACTAATGGATCAAAGATGAATAGGTGTTTGTCTAATGTTGAAGAGCATGTGTCAATTTCGGTTTTAATGTGTCGTTATCAAAGCCAAATACAACTCAACTTTAAAAAATTCAGGAAAAGCAGAGAATCTTCAAAACTTTTCCAAGAACATCTTTCTATGTTGTACTATTGTTTCAGGTAGGGTAAGGTTGGCGCCTATTTAAACATTTAAACCCGCTGCATTTGTTTGCACCTGTCCTAAGTCAGGAACCTGATGTTCAGTGGTTGTCGTTAATTGATGTGGTTCATAAGTGTTTCTCGTTTCTCATTTTTGTCGAGCCTTCGACTTTAGTCAAAAAAACGAGACATAGCGCTCCTACATTCCGTCGGCGTGGTCGTCGTCGTCGGCGTCCACAAATATTCATTCTGTGGTTAAAGTTTTTGAAATTTTAATCACTTTCTTAAACTATCCTGGATTTCTACCAAACTTGGACAGAAGCTTGTTTATGATCATAAGATAGTATCCAGAAGTAAATTTTGTAATAATAAAATTCCTGTTTTTCCGTATTTTACTTGTAAATGAACTTAGTTTTTCTGCCGGGAAACATTACATTCACTCTGTGGTTAAAGTTTTTAAAATTCTAATAACTTTCTTAAACTATCCTGGATTTGTACCAAACTTGGACAGAAGCTTGTTTATGATCATAAGATAGTATCCAGAAGTAAATTTGTTAAAAAAAAAAATTTCATTTTTTCTGTATTTTACTTTTAAATGGACTTAGTTTTTCTGCCACGAAACAATACATTCACTCTGTGGTTAAAGTTTTTAAAATTTTGATAACTTTCTTAAACTGTCCTGGATTTGTACCAAACTTGGACAGAAGCTTGCTAATGATCAAAAGCTAGTATCTAGAAGGAAATTTTGTTAAAATTTTGTACCTATTTATCCGTATTTTACTTATAAATGGACTTAGTTTTTCTTCCAGTTAACATTACATACAGTCTGCAGTTAAAGTTTTTAAAACATTTATTAGATTCATAAACTATCCTGGATTTATACCAAACTTTGATAGAAGCTTCTTACAATCAAAAGATAGTATCTAAAGGAATATTTTTATTGATTTTTTTCCTCATTTTTGTTGAGCCTGCGATTAACAGCAAAAGTAAGCGAGACACTGGGTTCCGTGGAACCCTTACAAATTTTTTATATAGATTAGACCGTTGGTTTTCCTGTTTGAATGGTTTTACACTAGTCATTTTTGGGGCCCTTTATAGCTTGCTGTTCGGTGTGAGCCAAGGCTCGGTGTTGAAGGCCGTACTTTGACCTATTATGGTTTACTTTTACAAATTGTGACTTGGATGGAGAGTTGTCTCATTGGCACTCATGATCATACCACATCTTCTTATATCTATGTAGAATCAGGTGCACAACTGCAGTCTTATTTTGTTCAGATATGTAGACTTGGTAAACTAAATGAATTGATATTTTTTTTTATCAAAATTAAATGGCAGCAAAAGGTTGAATCATGTAATAGATCTACATTGAGTAATACCGGGCTTATAATGTGGTTCGGCAGATTAACATTTTCTCTACATGAGACATATTTAGGATGTTCGCTCCTCTTGTTTTTGAATTATTGCCAGATATTTTGAATCCTCTGATTTTATCTATGTGGTGCCATTAAAAATTTTGCTAGCTAACCCCTACTTTTCTTTTCATTATTTTATTACATAAAGTTAAAAAAGCCATATTTGAAAATCTTATAAAATCCTTGTTATTTTTCATAGTTTTAGAAAGAAAAAAGGTGTCAATGTTAAATGTATGAAAAAACTAAAGAGAATCATTTCCCACCAACTTTTCAATGGCTTTTATCTCAAAAACAAGCACAAGGACCTTTCATTTTTTTCTGCTTTTTCAGTCCATATATTTAGATACTTTTAATTTATAACAGTCTTTTCAAAGCTTTGTTATTTTCAAACAGAGTAGCAAACATCCTTAATGGGTCAGATGATATGTTACTACTGAGAAACAGAACTTTACAATTGGGAAACTAAAATTACATATGTTTGTCAAAGATTTTAGTGTGTAGTCACTTTAGGGAGCTACCATTCGATTTTTATGGGGGGGCTAGGATGAAAAATTTTGTCCGGCTTTTTTTTTTAGTTGTAATCTCTGTCCTGCCTTTTTATTTTTTACTCTAATCGGTCCTGCCTTTTTTTAATTAGTTTATCCTGACTTTTTTTACACAAATTGTCATCCTGCCTTTTTTTTACCAAGTTGCTCATCCTGCCTTTTTTTTTACTCAAAACTCCTGTCCTGTCTTTTTTTTTTCAAATTTCATCCTAGCCCCCCATAAAAATCAAATGGTAGCTCCCTTATGTAAATTTAAAAAAGAGATATAGATATGAAGTGGACATTCTTGTTTTGGTAGTATCCTTAAGTTCACTGGGTTATATGAGATGCAAGTGCTCTCTGAAATGTGGGTTACCGATTGACAGGACATCATATTTAATTATGGGCCACCAGAAGAGTTGATGACAACCTCGAACTATTTTAAGATTTTGTATTAAAATGTAAATATCAAAGTGAAGATCTTTGTGAAAACTTTAAAAAATGTAATTTTGGATATAAATGAGTGGAAATCTTTATGATGTGGAAAAGAAATGGTTGTGGTGCTTATTTCACTATACACAAATCATGTTTATGGAATAACTTTATTTGGTGCAGTGAATAGAAAAATTATTAAGTTAGTAAAATAAGCATAAAAAGTTTTGGAAGATATAAAAGGGACCAAAAATTGTCTACAGTCTCCTTTACCATAGTTTTAGTAGAATTATAAAGATAGTATAATTGAGAAAGTGCATTTTATAATTGAAATTATTCATTTAAACTATGCCAGTTTAGAAGCACTGGTTACTGGGGAATGTAACCAATGAATAACCTATAGTCTACAACCAGCCTTATCGACCTATTGGTCATTATATTGTGAAAACTCAACAACGAAACCAGGCTTATAATTTGGTAAGATAGGCAAACGTTTAGTTTTCATAAGACTCGTCAGTAGCGATTAAATCAAAATAGTAAGAAAACCAAATCAAGGACAAACCAAGTTGAAGAGCATTTAAAACTTTGAAACAGTTTCAGTTTACACATATATCTGCCAAAAAGCTACTCATCATTGACTTGTGGCCAAAAGTTTTGAAAGCTGGATGCAAGAAAAAGGTTGGCAGCTTTCAAACATTTGGGTCTAAAAAGAAGGGTACATATTGTCAACATTCTCTTAAGGAGTTGAAACTTGATAATACAATAACATATGATTTTAGAAAATAAAATTATACAAAGTAAATTGTAGAGACTGAGAGAACCATATATTCAGTGTGAACAGAAAGTTTTAATCACTTGAAGAGCCTCTGATGTTATCTTAACGTTTTGGAAAATTGAACAGCACATGCTATACTTTTCCAATAAACATAATAATTCTTTGTCTATGTGTCTTGTATGCCCTTGTTAAGCCAATCTATTTGTTGATTATTATGTTCATTCATAAGAATTTATTTTTGAGGAGCAATGACTTTTCAATTAAATATTTGTGAAGTCCAGCACACAATGAGCTGTGCTTCTAAATGAATAGGAATATTTAAATATTTTACCCACCATTTGGGTTAATTGCACTATCAATTAAATATAGGGAGCACAAGATTCTTTGCATGATATACCTATGCAGACATTCAGGGGTAAATGTTATCAGCATCAATAATCAGAATGCTTTCTAGATTTTTGTTTATCTCAAAGAGAGTGAAAGAGAGGCGAAGGATACCAAAGGGACATTCAAACTCATAAGTCGAAAATAAACTGACAACGCAATAGCTAAAAAAGAAAAAAAAAACAGCAGACAAACAACACTACACAAAACAACATAGAAAAACGAAGACTGAGCAACACGAACTGCACCAAAAACTGGGGGTGATCTCAGGTGCTCCAGAAGGGTAAGCAGTTCCTGCTCCACATGTAGCACCCGTCGAGTTGCTCATGTAAGTACAAACCCGGTGAAATGTCCAACTCGGCAGGTCACATTTGGAGGAAGTGGACGGGATTGTAGTTACAAGTGTTGTTAGATGATTTTACATAGATAGAGGCTTGTGGTACAAGTAAATGAGTCATCAGCCCAACAGCACACAAAAACCTCAAAGACATATTGAGATCAACACACTATTTTCAACAAAAGACAAACGTCTTTTCCATATGACAAGATTTAAATCCTGATTTTAGAACTTTCATTATTTTGGTTTGCTTTAAGTGAGAAGAACTTCCTGGAAAATGTAGACACATTTATGGCTGCAAAAAAGGAGTCGAATACCTGCAATTACCTTTATAATGTTCCCAAATTCTGTGCTTTGTCATCCTCTTAAATTGTTTATTGTATTTAATGAAACTCACGAACTGCACCAAAAACTGGGGGTGATCTCAGGTGCTCCAGAAGGGTAAGCAGTTCCTGCTCCACATGTAGCACCCGTCGAGTTGCTCATGTAAGTACAAACCCGGTGAAATGTCCAACTCGGCAGGTCACATTTGGAGGAAGTGGACGGGATTGTAGTTACAAGTGTTGTTAGATGATTTTACATAGATAGAGGCTTGTGGTACAAGTAAATGAGTCATCAGCCCAACAGCACACAAAAACCTCAAAGACATATTGAGATCAACACACTATTTTCAACAAAAGACAAACGTCTTTTCCATATGACAAGATTTAAATCCTGATTTTAGAACTTTCATTATTTTGGTTTGCTTTAAGTGAGAAGAACTTCCTGGAAAATGTAGACACATTTATGGCTGCAAAAAAGGAGTCGAATACCTGCAATTACCTTTATAATGTTCCCAAATTCTGTGCTTTGTCATCCTCTTAAATTGTTTATTGTATTTAATGAAACTTGATGTATTGTTAGATTCTAATATGTAATTGTATGTGTCATTCCATTATCTAAACTTATTTAGAAATAAACAAGTACAGTTTAATATTTCTCATTTTATTGGTTCATCTAATTGTGATAATCCACGTTCTGTCACAATGTGTGATAAGACATTTTCTAGATGGGCACGATTTTCCAACTGGGATATAGAATTTTGTTTGAATTTGTCTAATATCTGGTGAGTCAGTGACCATCCCTGGTCTTCTGTTTGATACTCTAAGTTGAAGGGAAAAAACAAAATAAGAAAACTTACAATTTATTGTTATTCTTTTAAAGGTGAAATATTACATTTTGATATTAATGAAAAGTGTTGTCAGTGATAGCAGTTTTGATTATACATGTATTAGTCTTTTAATTGTCTCAGAAAAAAATCAACAATGAACTATTTACAGTAGACATTTTTTTCAGATTTTATTAAAATTGATGTAATCGTTAATGGTCATATTCTATTTGAATGGTAAGCATTCCATCTAATGTCGGTTTCTAAAAGTAGAAGAAGATCACAGAGTATCATAAAAATGTCTAGCGGTAACATAATTTCGGTGAACCATCCTGAGTTTCAATTGCTTGTACTGAATGTTAATAATAGCCTCCACATTATCCGTATCTAAGAAGGTTTGAATTTGCACCTCCTCTACCATTTGCTCCTGCTGCACCTTGTCTTGGAACGGACACGTATCCTTGGGCTGGCATCCAAATCCAAAATCCATCTCGTTTAGCTGGCGTTTTGTGTAAAAATGGAGCAAACTTTTGCTGGTACATATTTGGTGGGGCAAGTAAAGACAGTCCATTTCTTCGTTGTCTTGAAGGATTTGTGTTTACATAGACAAAATGTCCTTCTGATTCAGAAGGGGGTTCATCTGCTACGTCTGTTTCCAAATCAACAGGTTCGGTAATTACAAGTGTAATAGACAACATCGTTACAAATAACAGGAAGCATTGTTGTAAAACTATATCAACTTTCTGAAATTAGAAGAGAAATTTCTAAATTAGTTAAGAGAATATTTTGCCAGGTTCAATTTTGAGTGAAATGTTTTGCCATTGATTCAATTTTTTTGATTGATTCACTCCACGCCGGAATAAAAAAATGACGAGAATAGCATTTAATTCGAAAAGCCGTACGTTGGAATTTGTTAAAATTTAAGTTATGCAGATACATAACACAATTCGGATCGGAACCTCGATCAGATATGTTCATTGAAAGTGCCAACGTAATATAATGCTCTTCTTAAAAAAATATGGGTATTAAGAAAAGAGTTTAGTTTTCAACTTTTAAGTTATTTTTGTGTTTCCTGCTCGGAAGATGTGTCTTGCTTGCTCAAATTTATGGGCCTATTTTTACATGAAGATTTTTACTACAGTTCAGAAAAGTGTCATGAAAGATACCAGGCTTATGATTTGTTACGCTATACGCGCGTTTCGTCTACACCAGAATAATCAGTGGCGTTCAAATCAAAACAGAAGACCAAATGAAATACAAAGTTGATTTATTAATAAGACAACTTATTACAGAGTCCTATTACTAAATACCTTACATATTTTTTTATGTTTTCGTCCTCGTTTTTACGCTTCATTCTTCAGGTATCGCTTTCTCTTAAAGGTCTGTTCTCGGTAGTCATATTTGAAAAGTCATTATCTTAAATGTGGATTTGTTGTTAGGAGTTTATGTTCGATTCTCATTTGTCTTCTGTTTATAGCTCCTGTTATACATTTATCTCCCAATTCACAATATTAAAGTCGTACCAGAATTAAATGTCGAAGTATGAAACACGACAGAACCAGTAATAACGTCGGATTGACATAAGTGCACAAGTATGATCTACGATAGAGTTAGATTGATACTAATGCGTTGAGAAACTGATATATAGGAACGATAAACCAATTCATGATAGCGACTGACAAGAATGTGAAATGTTTCAAATCTTGTTTTTAGGCAGTGAAATGGAAAAATGGAATCCATTTCTATAATCAAATTTAATAAGTACTAATTTGTCGTGACTTTGAAAGTTCATTTTCTTTTGTAAATTTTCTTATTTTATTGTTCATATTTTAGTGTCTGTAGCCATAGATAAGAAGGTATTATTTTTTCTAAGTAGCAAAGTAAATCTTTAAATCAATTCAGTGCTTTTATGAATATTGAAACATGTCACCATTTGTTTCTTCTGATCTTTTTTAATTTCTAATTGGTTGTACGGATTCGACAATAAAACAAATATTTGAAAATTGAACGAAAAGACATACTATTTTTTTCTAGGAAATGCTTAAGTGGTTTGTTTATTGAACTCTAAGAAATAAACTAAAAAACAAATCACGACTTCCAAAAAGATGATTTCATCCCTAAAAGAATGTTGGCATGGGTTTTATCGGTTCATTTCATTGACCACTTCACTAAGTTACAATATCTAAATAATTTTTACATTATCCTAATTTAGATTTTTTTTTTACGTTTGTAAGATTTGGCATCAGCAAATTGTTTATTCTAAATTACGTTGTTAAGCTCACATAAGGACAAACTGAGATAAATATTCACGATAAACACTTTGTCATGAAAGACGCATAGTCTGTAACAGAAAATTCGTTTGAAAGCATTCTTTGGAATAGTAGGTAACGAATTATTTTGCAATTTTGCATATCACTGAACTGGGTTATTAAGTATATAGTTACACGTGCTTTTGTGTTTTCATAATCACATGTTTTACAATATACCAAGTTATGAAGGAGAGAAAATAAACCATAGTTAGGTGTTTTTGTTTTTGTTCCTGTTTTTCGTGTTGGTGTTTTTCAAAATTAAACTTTCTTATATAAAATAATTATATAATTATAAGTATATTAGAACTATATTACCGGTAGTTCAGACATTCACTATAGAAATAAGAAGATGTCGTATGATTGCCAATGAGACAACAGTATGTATATTTATTGGACATTAAATTATATATAATTATTAAATCTGTCCCTTTGTAACTCGATATTTCATCATTTGAGACACTAATCATGATATATACCAGTACAAACAGCTCAAAATTCAAACAGAAAGCATCTTCATTATTGTATTGACCTTGTACTGAATTGAGAATCTTTTGTTTAAAATAGATATTATTTATTATGAAATGAATATTTTTTTAATATTATACCATAAAAAATTAAAAATATTTAAAGCATGCCATGATATAAGTGGCAGACACATGGAGGGACACATAGACTAATGGCATGAAACTCAATTTTTAGACATGCATAGCAAGTTATTTTTGTTTTACTACTAATTAAACGATGAACAATCTTTAAAGTATTTTATGTTGTATAAACTTTGGGTATCTATATATTTTCAAATGCATTGGAGATAAAGTAACACGTTATGTGAACTTTATTTATCTTTATTCTATTATTACCACAAATAGACGACACACAACTGTTTCGAAATAGTTTTGGTGTTCTTATCTACTTATAAACGAGTCTGCTAAACCATTTCAAAGCCTCATGGAGCAATAAAGATGTGAACACAAACAATCATACCAAATCTACTTATTTGTATAACATTGGTGTAATCTGGTAAATATCGTCCAACAAAACAATATAGCTCCGTGGAGGAATGAAGCAAACATCAGCAACAAAGATAAAACAATTTGTCATGTAAATAGTCTAAAAAGGATAGATCAGATGGAGCTAATATTGTAATTTCTCAATAAGTTTATCGGTTTTGAAACCTATTTATATATTGCAATAACCTTTATCAGGCGTTTAGCCTACGCATTGTCCATCAGTTGCTGACCTTTCAAATTAGCCTTAATACTTTACCAATTTGTTAGAGCCACAAGAGTAATTTGAAGATTAAAGTTTAGCAATTCAGATACAATATTATCAAGGGATTATATTTTAAAATTATTTATGAATACGTCAATTTCATTCCTTTTTTGGAATTTAGCTGCATGCATATCGGAAAGGGTGCTGGGGAAATGGAAGTGATCCTGATTTTTTAACCGATTAGCATTTAACTACTTATATATTTATAAAACGTGTATGTTTGAATTATCGTAGGATATGATTTTTAATTAAGAAAACAGTTAGAAGTTATAGTTTACGTGACACAGTTTGGTTTGTTATGCGATAAATGTACTGTTTATGTCAGTTTTACAACAGCGTCAAAACACTATAAAACCAAAAACACGTCGACTACCGATTAAAACACGGGTTCAATATTAGTGTCTTACGTTTTTTATTGTCCTACTATCAATAGCCGGGAAAGTAGATACATTGTGAAAGAATTTGATAGACCATTTAGTGACTATTATAAAGATAAAAGTAAAGCTACAAGTAAACCAAATTTAATCCAAATCATATCAAAGAATATTGACTGTTTCAGAAACCTTACTCAAATTACACACTCTTCTACTATAAAAGTCATGCTTTTTGCACTCCGAGTGTCAGCTGCGTACTTCCATTTTTTTTGTATCCAGAAAAAAGTAAAATACAACAAAAATACCAAAACGATCACTGTTAATGTAATCAAAATGAATTTTTGACTTTTTGAACATCGGTAAACTTATGTTGCCTCGTATATAACAGCGCAGAAAACTTTACTTTTTTTCAAAATTAATCTGAAAAAAACATTCATAGACAATAAGTTGGATGTGATTAAACACGAATTATGTTCATGTCTTGGAATGCATGCTGGGATTATTGAAAACCCATAACTAGAACATTCTTGATTTTAATAGTCCACTTTCGAGTTATATCCTTCACTGGAAAAGTTCGTCAATTATGCGAGGCTTTATGACGTCAATTACCAGATAGAGGGGACCGCCTGTATCCCTGCACTATTAAAGTTCATCAAGCGTCTTCGTGATCGTCATTATGCAGGATAAATTAGAAATAATGTTTGTTTCGTAGGTACTTGATCACAATTCCCTAATGACAGCAGTGCTGATTATCAATTATAAGAATTTAATTTGCCGAATATTTCGTGCAATATAGCATTATATTTTTTCAACCGCTCGGTCAACATGGGAAGGAAGTGACGATGCCCCTAAACGCACGAATGATGTTAACTTAAACTAAAGTTTTTGACGGAAATGCAACGAACTCGAAAGTGGTCTATTGATTTGGTATCATGAAGAAAAACACAAACATGATATTATAAAACTAGTGGAGGGACGACAGCCTAGGTTCCGATAGCAAAATTTCATGTCACATGGTACGATTTCAGCTTCCATTTGTCAATTTTAAATATAGTAATAATCGATTTTTTCCTGTTTTAATATCAAATGCACTCTATTGCTTTTATGGAAAATATAGCAAGTTTTCACCTAGAAAGGTTTATTGGTGATCGGAAATCATTTTTTTAATAAAAGAAAAATGTGTATTTTTATACTTTTTGGGGATAATTTTATAATTAAATAGTATGTCTCGTCATTACCGGATTTTTTATTTGAGGCCTGTGAAATTACAAGGCCATTTTTTTGGGTTAATATTCGCAAGTAATTGCGAATTGTAAATTGTAAAATGAAATTTAATACAGTTTAAGAAAATGTTTATACAACCTAAACATAAAAGGTCTCCTTAAGTCTCCATCCGTTGCTGCATATTAAGACGCTAAAACAACGATTTTCAAATATAATATCCAAATATATTTGTCAAATCCGTGAGTAATTACGTAAATCTTATACGAGTATTCGATTAATGTCCATGCGGTACGAAAAAAGCCCTAGGAATCAGCAGTTTGATAAGGGAATCAATATGTATATTCCCTGCAAATAACGATAATAACCAAATTCGTTTATTATGCATCATGTATATATATTGGAGAACACTGGGAAGTTATTTTGAAACCGTTACTATCGTCGTAATTATAACGACTAATAAATAAGCATAATATGTTTAAAAAATAGTACACCAAGAACAGCTTTTTACTCATCGCTCAATTAAGGGTATGTGTAGTTCTTTAAGTTTTTACTGTTGGTTTGTGTTGTCAAATTCATTTACAAGCAATCTAATTAAAATATCGATCTCTGATTTCGTTATTCTCGTATGCTGATAAATCGAGCACGTGAATTTTGATAGATCTTAATTTTAATCAGACTGATTTACAAGTTTTAAAGATTGGTTAGCTTCTGGTGCCCTTTATATATCAAGATACTGTTTTACTAAAATTAGTTATACAGTTTTTTTCATACATACATTCAAGTAAATGTTAGTTATTTATGAAACTATCATACTTCTTTTTACCTTTGTATATGAAATATTTATATATTTAATATTTATATTTTAACAAATGTTGATGTTAATGTTCAGTTTGAAAGAACTTTTGTTCATTGTTGAAGGCAATATAGTTGAAAACATCCACCTCATTTGAACTCTGATAGATAGTTGTCTCATCGACAATCATACAACATCTCCTTATTTTAAACTAATAAGTATGCATTATAGAAAGAAAAGAAGATTTGAAGCTAATTCTTAATATTTGCAAGTACAGTTGATGTAAAATACCGCTTTTTATTAACATAAAGCTCAATAAAACTCCCACATACACACATTGATCTATTAATTTGTAATATGAAAATAAGTAATAGTTTTGACAAACTATAAGACTTATTACCTTGCAGTGGAATTTTTAAATAATAAAATATTGCTTACATTTTAATCTGTAATCATGTATCAGTTGAACCATTTTATAAAAAGTAAAATAACAAAAATACCGGACTCCGTGAGAAATTCAAAACGGAAAGTCGTTTATAAAATGGCAAAATCAAAATCTCAAACACATCTAACGAATGGAAAACAACTGTCATATTTCTGACTTGATACAGACATTTCCTTAGTTAGAAAATAGTGGATTGAACCTGGTTTTATAGCTAGCTAAACCTTTCACTTGTATGACAGTCGCATATAATTCCATTATATTGACAACAATGTGTGAGCAAAACAAACAAAAATAATAGGTAAAAACGTCAAAAATTTGGGTACAGCAGTCAACATTGTAATATAATCTTAATCACTATAAAAACAAACAACTGTTACAACAAAGAATAATTGTTTTTTTCCATAAGAAGGAGTCGATGGAACATGTTCACCATATAAAGAAACATTACTGTATAGAAAACATTTTGTATAGAGATTACCAATGAAAAACTAATATCATGGTACAAATATGAGGCAACAGTAGTTTACCGATTTTCAAAATATAAACAAATCAAGCGAAAACAACCAAGAGAATCACATGATCCCTAAATGGAAAACGAGACCGGGTGTGTCAACATTGTACCGAACTCATGTTACATCATACTGCATGTATGAACCACCATTCGAATTCAGGCTTAATTGTCTCGATCGGTTAATTTACAGATCAGACGACTATTTAGTATCTGAAGATGTAAGACGGTATAAACATGTCTCGCGTGAGTTGAGACGCAAACACGTCGTATCGGTCAACAAAGTCGTGATTGTGACCGTAAAACTAGTTTTTGTCGACTCCAGTCGGTCTTCCTCACAACACTGCTTAGGCAGTTGTTGCATTATGGGCACACCTCAGTACATTACGTCTGTATAACGTGAAAAAAAATGTCACTTAATTTCCAGAAACCCATTCGGACGCACTTAATTTATTAAGGGTCATTTTCATTTTTTCTAGCTCTACTGGTGGACTGCTAGTTCCCGTTAGTGTCAACATCTCATGAGTCTGCTTTGGACTGACACGATTTCTAACATACATTTCTTAATATCCTCATTGATGGGTAATGAGATTATTACGAAACTAAAGTTCAAACTCAATCAGGCAAAGTTGACATAGATTAAATTGTGATGTTCTTGTTAGTCCTATTTTTTGGTCATAAAGCTTCTGGCTATGGAACAAAGGGCCTGGGTCGCACCAAACAAAATGCAATATTTTTTCCCTTTTTACACGTTCGATCAAGTAAATCATAATTTATGGTATATATTGTTAATTCGCCGTTGATAGGTTTGAAGATTATGAAGAAACTAAGGTTCTATCTCCCTGTTTTTAGTGATTTAGTTGTAGTGTTTAACGTCCTACACAACAACCTTCACATGCAAACTTTACCGTATGTGAATTTTACTATACTTTTTATATCCCTTTCTGGTCTGATAGCCTATCAAGTATATAAGTATATATTCAACTGAACATCCTTGGCTTTAATTTTTGTTTATATTTGAGCTTTCCCGATGAAGGTTAAAAAAAGAAAAGCGCTTTGAGTACACAAAATGTTTAAAGTGAATTGTCAATAGTGCATTTGGCAAAAAAACATTTACATTTGATATAGGATTCGTTTGTGTATACCGGAGAAGCTGGAAATAAGCTTGTTAGGGAATTTGTGGTTTAAATTAATAATCTTGAACTCCATTAGGCAAAGTTGACCATAGATGGATTTGGCTATTATTTTTAGGTCTTTTTTGGTCAAACAGCTCTTCAACTGTTTCGGTTCTTATACATCCTTGTCTTTCAAATATCCGGCTTTGAGCGTTCCTGGTGAAGGTTAATCCAGAAAAGCTCTTCGGACGCATGCAATTTATAAAGTTTTTTTTATATTTTTTGTATGTGTGTTGATGGCAAATGTCAAAATCTTATTTTATTGTTTAATCTGATGAAGATTTGGAGACCTTAATTATATAACTGTATTTTTAAGGTTTTAAAGTTTATAATTGCGTAGAAATTGAGTTGTTTGTAAAACATATTTTTTAGCATGAAAATTCTACTTATCTTTCATTTTGTCATTTAGTTTTTTATTTGAACGTGTGGAGAAATTATCGCCTATAGCTTATGTCGAAAACTGAAAGTATTTTATTGAAATTTTTTAGTTGTGTTTTGTTTATATATTTATGCAGTACATTTTTAAATTCCCATCTACCATGAACTCTATGATACTCTTTGTATCCTATTTCATTTAAAAGAGCAATTTTTTTTACTTGTTCATTCGAAACAAAGCATTCAAATATGTAAGTAGACTTTGGATTAAAATTTAAAATTCGACACAATCAAGACAGGTTTCATATTGACATCGAATCAACTTCTTGTCTTTGATAAGAAAATAAGGGGATGTAGTAATATTGCCGGAATGATTGCATCTATAACGTTTAATATCAATATCAATTCATCCTTCCACATATAAGAATTATTTCGTTCTTTTTGAGCGAACTGCTTAAGATTCTGTTTGAGATGCCTTTCTTTTAAAGTTTTTTTTTTTGTGTATAGAATTGGACTAGTTTTTTAAACGTTGAATAATTCAATTACTAATTTGGGAAATGTATAAGATTTTTATTCATATAATATCTTATTAAACAGGATTTAAATGTATGTTCAGTTCATTTATTTGAAAAATTACATGATTCTAAAAATCTTTGAAGAAACAAAACATTTTTTTAAAAAGAATTCGAATAAAAACAAAAACAAAACCAACAATTATATTAAGTTAAATTAAATATTAATTTAAAGGAATTAATTTAAGGCTACGAAAAACATGTCTTACCATTGTGGCTGTCTGTTCAGTTTCTTTCAGGAGGTTCCAAGTGAACGAGAAAACAATGTCCATCAGTTATATACTTGGAAGAATTTTATGTCCAAATGACGTTACAGGGATAACCCACTCTAGATCGTCGGTTTTAATTACAAAGTCATTATTTATTATTAATTTGGTAATGAATATCTGAAAATAACAGTTTATATATTCTGTAAATTAGAAGCTCATCTCCAAACTATCAATCATGCCTGAAAAACTGTTTTATTATCATTGAATATTAGCATAGAAATTAGATAATGTAATCAATTGACACGGAAGGAGGTACAGAGAGACAAAGAAAAATAATTTTGATAATTTTTATGAATTAATATGTACTTGATAGTGCTTTAGGATGTTAGAAGAAAATATTTTTTAAAATGGTATTGAAATATGTTTTTTCTTGTATCCATTAACATTATAAACTGTGTTTAATTATGCTGTGTATTGATATTAGAATCCGTTCTTTATATTCATGTTTTGATGTAGCAGAGAAGGCTTTTGACTACTTAAGATTCTATACAACTGATATCAATTTACAAATAACGATCATTTCATTATATTGATTGGTTAATACTTAAATCATGTCTGAATTTTTTGTCTCGCCTGCGACAGAGGTCTATAGTCAAAGTTTTTTTATACGTCAATCAGTTAATAGAACTTCATAAAATTGTACGAAACTTCGGCAGAAGCTTCCTCATTATGAAAAGACAGTATCCATTTTAATATTTTCATTTTTTTCATTTTTAATCGTTATTTTTTTTTTCAGTTTTTAGAGTTTTGCTCTTGATTTAAAAAGGCCAAATTCAAAACTATAGATCCTGATATCTGTCACACGGATATTGTTCTGTAGATTTATAATATTAAAAAACAAATGAGAGAATCAAAAAGTTTTTGATTTTGGAATTCCCGGGCTAGAAAAGTAGCCTTTTCATACTTTTCCTTATTAATGATGACCAAATGAAAGTCAAATTCGAAATTGATGGTTTTCACTTTTGCTGTTCGGGAGTTATGGTCCATGATTGATTGGAGAATGGTACTTGGTGTCTTTTCCATGCAGTTACTTACGAACCGTTCAACTAATGGTTTTCGACTTTAAATATTGTTTCTCTTCACAAAATAGAAGTCAAGTTTGAATTTAATGATTTTCACTATTGCCGTTTAACAATTATGGTTCTATAATAGATTGGGAAATGGCGCTTTTTGTCGATTTCATTCGACAACACGAGAACGCTTGAATCAATCCTTTTCCAAGTTTCTTATGCTACTTCACATGACGATATGGATATCAGGATTTGATTTTAACGATTGTCACATTTGCTCTTATTGAGATATGGTCCTTGATAACTTAGCAATGATACCAAGAAAAACCCAGTTTGTTGTCATTTTGACAGTCTCTTGTTCTGTATTTTACTGATGAATTAACTTAGTTTTATTTTTGCAGTAAACTTTTCGGTATGAACTTTCTTATACGTTTCCAATCGACGTTAACCTGATTATTTTAGAAACATTTGATTCGCCATGCAAAATCTGATTAAGTACTAAAGATCCTATCAAAATTTTGGGTCCTTTTCAACTGAGTACTTATTGGCCTTTTTTTACCTTTTTGATTCGAGCGTCACCGATGAGACTTTTGTAGATGAAACGCGCGTCTACTCTAGCGTACAAATTTTAATCCTGGTATCTATGATGATTTAATTTTCAATTTAATCGGATGTATCATAGAAAAAACACGTAAAGTTGATTTCGTTCTTGCTAGCTTATTGCGTAACGGTTCGCAGGAGAGCGTTATCTTATCGGGAAATGTTATCCTTACTTCAATCCGACAACTCATTAGTGCCTAATACCGTGTGCTTGGTGCCGTGATGTCAAAAGACAGTTTTATTATCCTGTGATTGAATATCAACCGAAGAAAGCACTCTACCACGATACCACCGATATTGAAAAATGTGGATGTAGATCTTAATATCAGTCTCGGTGAAATGAAATTTTTTTTTATGTTGCCAGCAGTGAAAAAAAAAAGAATATACCAGGGATCAATACAAAACCATGAAATTAAGAAACATTTTCAACACCATGGTCCAAAGAAATAAAAACGAACAGATAAACAATACGTTCGTATTGCTCAGTTTTTAGTTTTCTATGTTTTGTTTTGTGTACTGTTGTTTGTTTGTCTTTTTCTTTTTAGCCATGGCGTTGTCAGTTTATTTTCGACTTGTGAGTTTGAATGTCCCTTTGGTATCCTTCGCCTCTCTTTCACTGACAAAATACTTAACAGAAAACTAAGATCGAGCAACGCAAACACCACCAAAAACATCCACTTGTTTCTACATTCGTGTAACATTCATGGAATGTAAAATTCTGGTCTCAAATCTCATTCGTTGATGTCACAAACGTAAATTTTTTTATAAAGTGTTATAACTTTGAAATGTGGAAGAAGCATGAATTTCATACGTACATATTTAAAGACAACCAAGACATGGTGTATACATGGTCGACATCAAAGTGTACCGATAATGATGTTTGTAAACATCTTTATACTAATTAAAATTGTTTAAAAATTGATTTAACCTGTTGCAGATGACTTGGTTGATTTTGTCATTTGGAAGACAGAGTATGTTTTAGTACAAAATAAGATTTGGTCTTAACTCTGTATGGCGATTTCTTATCTTTATACATGGACAGACCATTGTTTTTACCATTTCCAGATTCAGTTCGCGTTTTGCTGCCGATTATAAAAATCCCCCCTGTAATAACCATGAAATAGAAATTGATTATCTCTAAGTAAGGACGTGTCAATTAAATACTTGTCGTTCATTGATGATAGATATGTCCGCTGCCTCTCTATTATCCATCGTAAAAATACCATTTCATGTAACTATTTTATAGACTATTTCCGTTTTAATTAAACATCTATGTGTTATTAGTTATAAAGATGTATAATTTCATTAGAATCGTGTAATAAAATGGAATACTTCATAAACGGGGATGGATTTATATTAACCAGACAAACATTTTCCTTCTAAGAATCTTATGTGGTATCTGGAGATTTTTAAAATATTAGGAAAAAAGGAATCGGGAAGAAAAACAAGACACATAGTACTTACTAGAAAATACCCGCGAAATATACTTTGGTTCATAATTTGAAGATATATAGTTTTGGTGCTAGGCGATATTAACAAAGTAATCCCCCCACCCTTTAGGGTATACTTTTTGCTGAGCAGACCATAATACTTGCAGACAAAGCGGAAATGATGACGGCACGTAAATTTTAGCTATTTTACCCAAAAATATTTCGCAACATGCTCCGTTCCGCAGAACAGTATTTTTGCACCCCCCTAACATTTAATCCTGGATCCGCACCTGATTTCTGGTGTTTCCGTGCTCAGAACCACCCCCATATATGAGTGGGCTGAAATTTTTTTGCATTTATATATGAATGGGGGTGGTTCACATTGCAGCCGCACTTCGGTACCCATTTTTTACTGAAAACTGAAGTAATCCCCCCACCCTTTTCATGTTGAATTGATGCGGTTCCCCGGAAGGAAAAGCTCTTGGCGTGTAAAAATCTGTTGTTAAATTGCTGAGAGCGTCAAGGGAATGTGTATCACAAAGTGTTTGTGTGTAATGTCAATATTTATCGTATCTGCTACGAAATAAAATTTAATTTTGCCGGGCAGATGTGCAATGACGGAAATGATGACGGCACGTAAATTTCAGAGCTTAACGTCGTGAAGGACGGTTGATCCGAACTGGCTTTTTTCCCGATTTTAAACCCCAAATACATACACCCCAAAAGATCTTGAAATGAACACATAATAAACTACGCTGGTCATTACCCCTTTGTGGTATAAAACAATATTCGTGGATTTTATGTGAAAGAAGAAAACGCGACACCCAATTTCAACTCTATTCATTTAGTAATATAGATAATTGTTGTCAATTAATTTTTATATTTCTTAGTCGGTTACTGATTTATTTCTCAGATATTTTATTTTATCCAGTTTTGCTAACCTGTGGTTTGCTTGATTTTAGTATATAAAATTATGACTTAAGTTGATCCCTATGTATTGATATAGTTTTTTTTTTCGTGTTGTTGATTTTGGTTCATTGATGTGTATCCACATTTCCTTTTATTTAGAACATGATATTCTTTTACTGGTTACTGGAATTTAAGCTCAGGCGATTACATTTACTCAATTTATTAAGTATTTTATTTTTACGCCTATCTTTGTTGTTTAACATTTTTCCAAGGCTTAAACATACTAATAAGTATCGTCCTAAATATTATTAGAGATACAAATTCTATCACTACATCTTGCGCGAAAAAGTCATGACGGCTAATGGGCTATGAATTTAGTCAACCAGACGTGCGATTCGCTTCATTAGTTGGGCTCATAGCTAAACAGTTTGAAGGCCAAATTAGTAACGAAGTTGTATTAAGCATTGAATACAAAAACTTCCAAATGTGGCTTAATGAATCCCGGATTTCTCCACACTGAGATTCTTAATCCTGAAAAAAAACGTTCTATAAAGACCATCTACATTATAAAGCCAGAGTACCGATGCTAATGCTAGATGGTTTTTATTTTAAAAAAATCATTAGACATTACGAGACAGATACAGACAAGTCAACAATAAGAACACAGTTAAACATATCAACCGAGATTGATTGAAGGTATTTTAAGATAGCTTTTGAAATCAATAACCTCATTTCACTAGAATTCAAAACCATAATGGCTTTGTTTCCTAACAGTTAACCTTCTAAAGATACACGAATTATGTTATCAGAAACCATACTAGGTTACCTGTCCACCAAAATCACACAAATACATTGCTACACTTTCTGTTTGAATCAATTCATCTAAAAGTTTGAACTTATATATATGTATCTTGTATCCCCTGTAATTCCAGTGCGTACAATTATTTTAAGATGCTGGTCAAGTACGACTCCTACTGACAACATTCACTCGTAGAAGAGATTATAGATGATCGACGGGTCCTTAATCTAATTAATTCCGTCTTAATATGGTATCATTTGACAATACCCCTACATTTATTTTGATACTACTAACTTACAACTGCTATGATAATTTGTATGTTTGCATTATCTTTTCTTTTACAGAAAGAAGAACAAGAAGTAAACAAACCTTCTAAACCGAAGCCAAGATTAAGAACAAATGGTAAATGTTACTAGATAAGGAAATCTATATACTTTTGAATGATATGTTTTCCTTTTGATAAAGTCATGGTAACCCATGATTTGTTTTGCATGAAAAAAAAATAATTTAACAAAAGCTGAATGAAATAAACCGTGTAAAAAGCCGATAGTTTCGAGAACAGTGGATAGTAATGTTTAAATGGCGGCAAAATGTGTGGAGTTTTTGGAAAATCCGTTGTTGCTTTATGATATTGCTTGTTCATTTCTTTGAGTAAAAACAGGGAGAGAGAAGCCATGGGACGATAAAAAAATTGTCAAAGAACAGACAACACCATGACGAAAAGAAACGACGAAAAGACATACCATAGTCCAGAAAATACCACACAGAAAACTTTCGATCGAGCATCACAATCCCACCAAAAGCCTGTTTTGAACTCACTTATGGATAGGAAAGCAGTTCCTGTTCCGCTAGTGGCAATCGTCGTGTTCAAAACAAGTTAAGATAAGAGCGATTTCACAATTGAGGAAAAGAGGGCCGGATTTAGGTGATGACAAGTATACATGGTCATATGTGACACAGATATTGAAACGCGTGTCTGGCGTTCAAAATTTTAATCCTGGTATCTATGATTAGTTAATTTACAACCACTTGGTCGATGCCACTGCTGGTGCAGGTTTCTCTCCAAGGATATCACCAGCCGAGTAGTCAGCACTTCTATGTTGACATGAATTATCATTGATATGGTCATAATAATAATTATAGATTAACTGTTTATAAAACTTTTGAGTTTTTCGTAATACTAAGGATGTTCTACCTTAGGAATAGATAACCCTAGCTATATTTGGCAAACCTTTCGGAATTTTGGATCTTCAATGCTCTTCAACATCGTACTTCAATTGGCCTTTTTAAAACTTTTTTCTGTATTTGAGAATCACCAATGAGTTTTATGTAGACGAAACGGGCGTCTGGCGTACAAAATTTTAATCCTACTGTCTGTGATGAGTTTATTCTACAACAGTCAACGAAATCATGATCCGTCCCATAAATCCATTGAATGGATGATTTCATCTAAAATCATTTTGAAGTATAAGAAAAAGTATAAGTCTTTGCTCTTTCTTTTAGTGATGACATCTTGATGTGTTTCAGTATGACTGTCATTGATCACGGTTCACAGCCGATGTGGTTTATAATATAAAGGAAGATATTCTTTTTTGGACGTTTTCTTATCATATAGGAACTATCATTTTTCTGACATCATTTTAAGATCAGTAAAAGTTCATTCCCTGGTCATTCAGAAGAAGGTTCATTACTACAGTTATTTGAAATATTTATTAGTTCTCACTTCCTCTAATTAGGAGATTAACTTCCCCTAAATCTGTCTAGTATTTAAAATATATATAAAAAACAAGCTTTTTCATCTGAACACATTCATGTCAGAGAACACCATTTTACAATAGGTATATTAGTAAATTAAAACATCTTTTGTCTTCAAAAATTAACAGGAGAAAGAAAGAAAGTGTAAAGCAATAAGGAATTATTTACTATGAATTAAAAGGGGAAACCAGATATTCTTTATGTATAGTATGTTGCATTGTGGGAAGGAATATGTGCTATACTTTAAAATTGTTAATATGAATAAGTATAATCAATGACTTGCACTTTTTAAAGATTCTTCAGGACAAGTCTCGATATTAGTTACTGAAATCTTGCTGTATCAATCTTCTTCTGATTTTGGATAAGCCTTAATAGATGATTTACATGTTGTATAAATTGTGAGAAGTATACAATAATTTTAAAGACTTTCTAACATGTATTTAGTTGGTGTATTGCTTTTTATGTTGCAACAGTGTTACAATTGAAACAAAATAAACAGTAATTCATAAAAAGTATAACAAAAAACTGATCTTCAATGAAAATTCAAAAATGGGAAGTCCATAAAAACTGACAAAATCAAACGCTATCAATCAACAGAAAGTGAAAAACAACTGCCATTTGGGGACTTGGTACAGGCATTTTCTGAAAAATGGTGGGTTTAAAAAACCTGATTTTATAGCTAGCTAAACCTCCCACTTGTATTACAGGTGTTTATATTATATAAAATTAGATGAATAATTGGTTTAAAATTCAAATACAGGATTTTCACCATGCCATACAAATTCAATATTAACAAACATTCAAATATGTAAATATGAATATACATGCAACAAACACAATACAAAAAGTATGTTAAGTATATATTTATATAGATTGCCAAAGGAGGTGATGTTCAGAGACAGTTTATGGTAACAATTTGAATGAATGTCTGAAGATTAATCAGTTAAGCCAGTTATATTGCTTAAAGACTGCAGTGACAAATGAAGGTTGTTATCACTCTTATTAAAATTAAATTCATTAATTGCTCCCGTTCTGATATGTCGAGCATCAAGGCCTTGATGCGCGACATATCAGAATTGGGGCAATTAAAGGATTTAATTTTAATTAGATTGTGATTTTTGTCGAGCCTGCGACTTTTGTCGCAGAAAGCTCGACATAGGGATAGCGATCCGGCGGCGGCGGCGGCGGCTACGGCGGCGGCGGCGGCGGCGGCGTTAGCTAACTTCTTAAAAGCTTTATATTTTAGAAGATGGAAGACCTGGATGCTTCATACTTTGTATATGGATGCCTCATGTTACGAAGTTTCCGTCAGTCACATGTCCAATGTCCTTGACCTCATTTTCATGGTTCAGTGACTACTTGAAAAAAAAGTTCAGATTTTTTGTAATGTTAAATTCTCTCTTATTATAAGTAATAGGATAACAATATTTGGTATGTGCGTACCTTGCAAGGTCCTCATGCCCGTCAGACAGTTTTCACTTGACCTCGACCTCATTTCATGGATCAGTGAACAAGGTTAAGTTTTCGTGGTCAAGTCCATATCTCAGATACTATAAGCAATAGGTCTAGTATATTCGGTGTATGGAAGGACTGTAAGGTGTACATGTCCAACTGGCAGGTGTCATCTGACCTTGACCTCATTTTCATGGTTCAGTGGTTATAGTTAAGTTTTTGTGTTTTGGTCTGTTTTTCTTATACTGTATGCAATAGGTCTACTATATTTGGTGTATGGAATGATTGTAAGGTGTACATGTCTAGCTGGCAGGTGTCATCTGACCTTGACCTCATTTTCATGGTTCAGTGGTCAAAGTTAAGTTTTTGAGTTTTGGTCTTTTTTTCTAATACTGCATGCAATAGGTCAGCTATATTTGGTGTATGGAATGATTGTAAGGTGTACATGTCTAGCTGGCAGGTGTCATCTTACCTTGACCTCATTTTCATGGTTCAGTGGTCAAAGTTAAGTTTTTGAGTTTTGGTCTTTTTTTCTAATACTATATGCAATAGTTCAACTATATTTGGTGTATGGAAATATTTTATGATCTATATGTCAGTCACCCAGGTTTTATTTGACCTTGACCTCATTTTCAAGGTTCATTGCTCAGTGTTAAGTTTTTGTGTTTTCGTCTGTTTTTCTTAAACTATAAGCAATAGGTCAACTATATTTGTTGTATGGAAGAATTGTTAGCTGTACATGCCTGCCTAGCATGGTTCATCTGACCTTGACCTCATTTTCATGGTTCATTGGTCAATATTTAGTTTACTTGGTTAATGTTAAGTTTATGTGACAGTTGTAATAAAGCTTTATATTTAGGACTATCAACATAATATCAATGATTAGTAAAGAAGGCGAGACATTTCAGCGTGTGCACTCTTGTTATACATTTGTTATAATTGACAATACTTGTCTTTTACAGATTATAGTCCATTAATGGGAGACAATGGTGGTTCATCATTTAGACCACCAAGGAGGAGTGGTGGAGGAGGATGAGGTTAATTTGTGTATCCTGTAACTATGGCAATGAGTTGTCCAGTTGATTTATTGGGACTTTTTGCCACCAAGGATACACACTTTTAATAAACCTGATCCTGTCTTTTATTCAGTTTATATAACACATTTCTCATAATATTTCCAATAATGCAGTTGTACACTCGTCTTACTATTTAAGGCTTATCGAGTTATTAGCATAGTTGACACGGTTATGTCAATGACAAACTATATTTTAGATTCCATAAGTTATTTATGGTTCGTATGTAATCAGTGTTTTGATAATTTATGGTTCTGATGTAATCAAGTCTTTCTTTGTTACAGTCTTTAAACAGAAAGACCATTGTGTGATTTGTAAAGTTAAAAAAACAAGATCTAAGTAATTAAAAAACAATAAAATCTAATGAAAAATGTTCAATCAAAATGTTGTTCAGGATTTCGAACAGACTGTAATTTAAATGGTTAAATTTTGCTGTTCATACTTTTAAAAATTTAAACATATTATTTGTATAAAGATTTAATATTTTTTTAATTCAGATGTTTTAAGTAAACACAAATTTCTATGTATTTCCGTTTTTTATAAGTTGTGGTGTGATAATTCCACTCACTGCACTCGGATGGAAAGATACATTATATGCATTCATCTTTTTTATGTTGATTTAACTTCAATTACTATCATTTAGATAGGCAGTTGAATCTCAGCTTTGGCCATTTAGATTACAAGTAGTTCATTTAGTGATTGTTACGCATGATAATATCTGTGTATTCATATTCTGATTAAAAAAGAGGATCACTGTCTGGTATACAGTATTTAACATTGATTTCAATAATATTTATATGTGTCCATTTGAATTGTAAGGTATAGATTATCAGTTGAATGTGTGATTCATTTGTAAGTTTATTATAAGATTGTACATGAATTTAAGCTGTATGTATGTGTTATACCTCATGATTGAATGTGGATGTCATAAATATTTTGAATTTTATGACAATTGTTCTGTAAAGATAAACTTTGTCTGGGAACAGTTTGAAACAATGATAATACTGTGTACAATTGTTTTGAGTAAGAATAGTCACGGTTTTAAATATTTATTGATTTTGTTATCAAAATGGTTTTTAACCTACTTACTTGAATTTTAGATAAAAAATTATAAAAATGGCTTTGTTACAGAAGTATTTCTTGGGCCATTTAAGGCTAAGTCTACTGGTTAATATTACATCTAACTCCCTTGTCTTCCTGATGACTTCAATTTCATTTAAAAAATGTATGTACCTTATGTGATCTGGAACCTCTATATAAAAAGAAAGCAGAATTTAAAATTGGCATTTAAGCATCCGAACTTTTTTGGTATTTTTTATGCACAGCTTATAGGAGAAGCTCAAAAAATTATAGCATAAAACCAAAAGAATGAAAATACATTAGACAAACAGTATATGAAGTTCAGCCAGTGAGAACACTGATATCATAATCATACCATTACACACAGCCGTTTTTTTATGCCCCCGTCGTAGCGGTGGGGGCATTAAGTTTTACCCTTGTCTGTTTGTCTATACGTTCGAACGTACGTCCCAAAATTGGTTTCCATTCTCTAACTTAAGTTTGCCTCTACAAAATGTTATGAAACTTATACACAATGCGTATTACCACAAAACACAGATCTAGTTTGAATTTTGGTGGCGTCACTTTAACTGTTCTAGAGTTATGCCCCTTTATAAATGGAAAAATTGCAAAATTTTTTGTTTTGGTTCTCTAACTTAAATTTGCCTCAACCAAATGTTATGAAACTTAAAAAAAAATGCTTATTACCACAAAACACAGATCAAGTTAGAATTTTGGTGGCTTCACTTTAACCGTTCTAGAGTTATGCCCCTTTATATATGGAAAAATTGCAAAATTTTTATTTTCTTCTAAATATCAAGTAATTTTTAAAATTGGAGTTATCATCCTTTGATCATGATTATAGTTGAATCAACTACAATCAATGCTTTATACAATGCAATGTTTAATTTTGACTTCCACTGATAAAACACAGATCAAGTTGAATTTTGGTATTGTCACTTTAACCATTATTGAGTTATGCCCCTTTATAAATCGAAAGATTGCAAAATTTTTAGTTTCCATTCTGTAACTTAAGTTTGCCCCAACCAAACATTATGAAACCTATACACAATATTCATTACCACAAAACTAAGATCAAGTACAAATTTTTTGTTTCCGTTTTCCAACTTTAGTTTTCCTCAACCAAATGTTATGAAACTTATACATAATGCTTATTACTACATAATACAGATTAAGTACGAAATTTGGTGGCGACTTTTACCATTCTTGAGTTATGTCCCTTTATAAACATAATAATTGCTGAATTTTTCGTTTCCGTTCTCTAACTTTAGTTTGTCTCAACCAAATGTTATAAAACTTATACACAACCGTTCTAGAGTTATATGGTTTACAAATAGAAAAATTGCTGAATTTTTAGTTTCTGTTCTCTACTTAAGTTAGCCTCAACCAAATGTTATGAGACTTACACACAATGCTTATTACCACATAACTCAGATCAAGTTCAAATTTGGATAGTGTCACTTTTATCGTTCTTCAGTTATGTCCCTTTATAACTATTATGCTCTGCAAGCGGGGGCATCATCTGTGTCCACATGTAGACACTATCCACATTTATTTTTTTTAGCTCACCGTTCCAAAGGAACTGTGAGCTTTTGCCATAACTTGGCGTCCGTCGTCGTCCGTTGTCCGTCGTCGTCCGTCTGGTGTAAACTATTTCAAACATCTTCTTCTCTGAAACTACTAAACCAATTCCAACTAAACTTAAGCTGAATGATGCTTAGGGTATCTTGAATAAAGTTTGTGTTTTATTTACTGTTTCGTCAAATAACATGGCCGCCATGGCTGAAAATAGAACATTGGGGTAAAATGCAGTTTTTGGCTTATATCTCAAAAACCAAAGCATTTATAGCAATCTGACATGGGGTTAAAATTTTCATTAGGTGAAATTCTATCAGCCCTGAAATTTTCAGTTGAATCTGATAACCCATTGTTGGGTTGCTGCCACTAAATTGGTAATTTTAAGGAAATTTTGCAGTTTTTGGTTATCTTGAATCTTGAATATTATTAATGATAAAGATAAACTGTGAACAGCAAAATGTTCGTCAAAGTAAGATCTACAAGTAAGTTCGAATGACCAAAATTGTCAATTGTCCCCTTGAGGAGTTGTTGCCTTTTAAAATCAATTTTTCACAATTTGTTCATTTAGTTTGCTTACTTTAAAAAATCTTCTCCTTTGAAACTGCTGAATCAATTTCAGCCAAACTTGGGCTGAATGAGATTAAGAGTATCTAGTATAAATTTTGTATTTTATTTCCTTGTACGTCAAGAAACATAGCCACTATGGCTAAAATGAAACATAGGGGTAAAATGCATTTCTTTGATTTTGAAGAAAATATGACATACAAAGAACATTTCAATGGAAGTTTTAAGCCATTCATCAATATATATTGAAAAGCAAAAATAATCATTGATGAAAGATTTAAGCAAAAAATTAAAGGTGAGCGATTCAGGCTCTTGAGAGCCTCTTTTTATTAAACTCAAACTTAATTTAAAAGAAAGAATGTATGTAGATTTTCACATGAAACCAAATAAACATACCGATTATGATATAAGTTTGTTAAAAGCTAAGTTAATAATATTTTATATTGAAATAGGAAGGAATAGGACACTTGAACTTTGCTTTACCCTCAAACTGCATGATACATCAGTTTTTTAAAAGTAACTATACACTACTGAAAAGTCGGTTAATTTAAAAGACAATTTCCTGTAAATCAATTTGTAGTTGAACCAAACAAATTTGTTAAATAATCCAGTTTTACATATGTATTTAATAATATATACATGTATATATAGACATATAAGTATACGTCCAGTTTACTTGACTTTCTTCTGGCATAATAATTACATGTGAATGAATTTGAAATTATAAAGATTGATTGAATTTAAATGGCGTCTAACGATGAAGGAGGGGCACAGGTCCTAAAAACTTGTGATCTATGTGAAAAAGACACGGATATCAGATACAAATGCATGGATTGCAATAAGTTTTTATGTGAAAGATGTAAAGGAATACATAAAAATGTACCTACACTGTCATTACATGATATATGTGACTTGAAATCGGAGCTTTTATGTCCGGTAATTACAAAAGTGAGAATGGATAATATACTATGTAATTATCACAAAAAATTTCAATGTATGTTTTGTAAAGATTGTGAAGTTCTAGTTTGTTCTGAATGTATTTCTAATTTCCATCAAAAACATTGTTTGGAATCTCTTGAAAAGACCTGTGAAGAAAAACTAAGCAAACTTGAGCGATATAAAGCTGAAATAGGAAAAGATGTTGTAAGTTTACAAAAATCATACAGTGATCTCGCCATCGCAAAAACCAAATGGGAAAACAGTTTGGACGACATCAGAAGTAAGATTGATGACAAAGAAGATGAACTGAAGGAAGCTGTGACAAAAAATGCAGCCAAGCTTAGAGATGATTTAACAGAGAAAAGACGGAATGGAATTGAATATATTTTGATAAAACAAAAACGATTTAAAGAAATGGAGCATAAATTGAATAGCAAACTAGAAATATTAAAAACCATGCAATCATCTGCTAGAGGAGAAATTTTTGCATTTGAACAGCAAGTCATGAACTATCCAACATCGGGTATAAGTGAAAATATCATCCCGAGAAATGAGATTAAATATCTTGAAAGATCAACATCTGAAGAAACTATATCGGCATTGTTTGGTTCAATGTACCTTCTGGGTGTACCTTATACGATGAATATTACAATCGATAGAAGTTTAACGACCAATTTCAGTAATATTGAAAACTTAGTCGTTTCTGATGGTGAAACTGCTTGGGTGAGTACATTTGAAAACAACGAAGCTTCCGTTCAGAAAATGCATTTGACAGAGATGTTTGAAACATTGAAGCAACTAACTTTGCATGCATTCGACATGGCATTTACTGAAAACAATGATCTTTTAATTTCCATTCAATCAACATCAGAGATTATGCGCGTTTCTTTTAATTGTGAGCTTGAGTCGTTGCTGGATGTGTCTCCCTTAATAGTGAAAGCAATTCACGTGACTAAGAATGGCGAATTTTATGTAGGTGTACGGGAAAGCGGAGACCCTTTTGAATTAACAGAATCAAGCTGCAGAAAAATTCTTGTATACAAAAGTTCAGATGGAAAACAATCGTCTCTTACGTCAAATGTCTCTTACGAATATGACCAGAGCAAGCAGAGACTATTTACCAGTCCTTGCAGAATAACTACAATATCTGACGGAGATGTAATCATTGTCGGTGATTGGATAACTCATATCGAAGGAAGGTTGGTTGTTCTTAACCGTAACGGTGATCTAGAATGGATATACAATGGTAATTCGAAAATAAATTCGGACAAAAGTAAATTTAGACCCTACGACATTGTATCGTCACCAGAAGGATACATAGTTGTTGCCGACAAAAATAATCACGCGATTCATCTATTAAATGGCGCTGGGGAATTAATTGCATGCAAACTTTTGGATGAGATAGGAATAACATTACCAAAATCACTTTGTTTTGACTATTGGGGATACCTTTGGATTGGATGTTCTACCTTCCCACAAGACAAATCTGGCGCCAAAATCTACGCTGTTAAATTGAGTATCTAATATAACTATGTAGTAAAACATCGCTCAGAACCGTCGATACTCTTTCTGTGTTTGTGTACATGTAATAATTAAATAACGGTTTAAAAATTTCAATGTTTTTTTTATGTGAAAAGGACATTTTGACAACTTTAAAACAATTAGTTCTTTGCTTTATTGACAAATATAGAGCTTGACATGGCAAAGATATGCTTTTCTATTGTTGACGATGTCTTTTACGATTTTATTGCGTGGCTAAATTGTCTTATCAACTTTTGTCCCAAGCACCTTTTATTAATACTAACATTAATATTGACTTTAAGCTATGAACCAAAATTAGACCGATCTGTAAAAGCTATAAGCCTTCGCAGATGGTATGCTGTTACTTAAGAATAAGAAAAATGACAAAAAGATAACTAAAAGCATCGCGTTTGTCATAGATCTAGGTTTCTGTTGTCTATAAAAATGATTTATGGAAAAGGATACATATAGACCCTGCTAGTCAAATGCGTTTTGTTAAAAAGTATCACTATTTGGTCCTTTAGAAAATGTTGTTTGTGCTGTATTTAGACCCCTCTACCAAGAAATTTGTTTTGCATGCACACGTATAAAAATTGCGGTTTTTATCCAGCGCAATCATAGGTTTGAACGTTGTTTTCAATTTTTACTTGTTTATATTTTTTCTTTTGGGCTTGTATTATATTTGCCTTCGGATTTATATAATCCGTTCATCCTATTTCGACTCTTCAAAATTCAAGAGTCATCCTAAATTGAGGTAAATTATAAGGCCTTCCAAATACCGTTTCGATTCCTAACATCACTGAAGAGACATCAATTGTCGAAATCCGGATATGGTGTACAAATTTTTGCACCTCATGTTTGCAGTATACCATCTTTTCCGCAAGTTTATTGTTTTCTGTTTGATATTAAATTTATAATTAAGATCCACTTTGTTACATCTGGTGATACGTTTATTTGGCAATCGCCATGGCAGTCAGCAGGGTTTAAGACCATCCGTTGTTCGACCTGTTAGTCAAATGCGTTTTGTTAAAATATACTTTTTCACTTTTTTGGTCCTTTAGAAAATGTTGTTTGAGCTGTATTTAGACCCCTCTACCAAGAAATTTGTTTTGCATGCACACGTATAAAAATTGCGGTTTTTATCCAACGCAATCACAGGTTTGAACGTTGTTTTCAATTTTGACTTGTTTATATATATATATAATTCGTCTAAATTTATTTATATTTATATATTATATATAAATAAGTCTAAATCTAGGAACAAATGAACACTCGAATAATCCCACGTACAAAAATTAACCTTTGACAAGGATGAGATCTTGGCAAACCACAAGTCCTCCATGGCCTCGTTGAATATTTTAATGAACAACAAATCCGAGGACTTACCTTGTTTGTACTGGATACCTCAACTTCCCTAGGCTCCGTACAAACAACGATACATTGCCGGCACATCTGCATGTTTTACAAAAGAATTGTCCATTATATTAACCAAAATTGTTGTCCGCGCACTTTAAGAGGGATTACAGAAATACTCTGATACTGTTTACTCGCGTGGTGGCATTAACCATATAAGGATTCTTAAGACCTCAACAGAATTTTTAGTAAATTTAAAATCTCTGTCATTTTCTGAAATAAATTCTATCAAAACCTTCGATTTTCCACCCTGGACATCATCATACCACATGAAAAATTAAAACCCAGTCTTAAAGAAATAATCCACAATGCTTTCCTCCATAAAAATGGTACCATACGCTTCAAATTTATTGTTTTGAGATATAATTCTACATATATTTTTTTTTAATATGAGCCCGAAAATAAAAACATGCTACACATAAGAACATGTGAACAGTATCAATATTTGTTGAATTTGGAGGTAGAATTTTCCAGCAGGTTTTCTGCATTCCTATGAGAACCACCTGTACCTCTGCTGGCCGGCCTTTTTCTTATTTTCATATGAGTCGAAGTTCCCTCAGACACTTATAAAAAACAAAAAGATTAAAGAAGCTAGATTATTTAATTTGCACATATAGTTATATTGATGATGTTCTTTCCATTAACAATCCAAACTTTTTTGATTGGGTCTCATTAATATATCATCTGGAACTAGAGATTAAAGAAACCACAGGTACAGCTTCCTCCGCATCATATTTAAACATTTACCTCAAATTTGACAACAGCGGTCATCTCAGTCCTAGAATTTACGATAAAAGAGACGATTTCAATTTTGAATTATAAATTTTCCTCATCTTAGCAGCAATATACCGATTTTACCAGCGTATGAAATATACAATTCTCAACACTGTCTCATCCGATATCCAAGAGCTTGCATCTGCTACTCATAATTTGTGAAACGTCATTGGTGTCTGGGCAAAAAAAAAAATTAGTCGGGTGTTGTCAAAGAACGTCTCGTCATTTTTCTCAAAAAGTTTAGCTAGCTATAAAACAGGGTAAACCCACTATTTTCTTATGAAAATTCCTGTACCAAGTCAGAAATGTAGCAGTTGTCTTTCACTTGTTCCGTTGATTGATAGCTTTTGATTTTGTCAGTTTTTATGGACGTCCCTTTTTGAATTTGCCTTGGGGTTCGGTATTTTTGTTATACTTTTATACTGCCAAAATTTACACAAAGGAAATTACTTTAAATAAATCAAATATAAGCGATAATAACTGTCTTTTCCTAGATTTAGTTATTTTCAGTTTTACACGGGAAAGTCTACACTTAATTTTACTACAAGATGGACAATGTTAATTTTCCTTTTTTGGACGGTGATGTTCCTTAGGCACCATCGCATGGTGTTGATATATCCCAACTCGTTCGTTATGCCAGTGTCTGTCGTGACGTTTTGGATTTCATTGAACGTAATCTATAATATGTATTAATGTACTGGTAAATTATTGATTCAAGGATTTCGTTTATATATATATATATACATATACAGCACAAACAACAATTTCCAAAAGACCAAAAAAAGTGAAAAAGAAAAAGTCTATTTTAACAAAACGCATTTGACTAACAGGTCGAACAACTGATGTTCTTAAACCCTGCTGACTGCCATTGGCGATTGCCAAATAAATTGATCACCAGATCTAACGAAATGGATCTTAATATTAATTCAATATCAAACAGAAAACAATGAACTTGTGGAAAAGATGGTATACCACAAACATGAGGTGCAAAAATTTGTACACCATATCCGGATTTCGACAATTGATGTCTCTTCAGTGATGTTAGGGATCGAAACGGTATCTGGAAGGCCATATAATTTACCCGAATTTAGGATAGACTCTTGAATTTTGAAGAGTCGAAATAGGATGAACGGATCATATAAACCCGAAGGAAAATATAATACAAGCCCAAACGAAAAATATATAAACAAGTCTAAATTGAAAACAACGTTCAAACCTATGATTGCGTTTGATAAAAACCGCAATTTTTATACGTGTGCATGCAAAAAAAAATATTGGTAGAGGGGTCTAAATACAGCACAAACAACATTTTCCAAAAGACCAAAAAAGTGAAAAAGTATATTTTAACAAAACGCATTTGACTAACAGGTCGAAGAACAAATGTTCTTAAACCCTGCTGACTGCCATTGGCGATTGCCAAATAAACGGATCACAAGGTGAAATAAATGGATCTTAACTATAAATTTAATACCAAACAGAAAACAATAAACTTGCGGCAAAGATGGTATACCGCAAACAAAGGTGCAAAGATTTTTTGTACACCATATCCGGATTTCGACAATTAATGTCTCTTCAGTGATGTTAGGAATCGAAACGTTTATTGGAAGGCCACATAATTTACCTCAATTTAGGATAGACTCTTGATATATATATATATATATATACTCAAGTTCAATGAAAGTGAATGTCTATACTAGTATTTGTGATACAATAGGATGATATATTTTCTTCAATGAAGGTTTTCCAAATATTCAAATGAAACCATTAAAGTCAACGTTATTAATGGGCGATGTCCTGTTTCAGACCATAGTATTATAATTTTGATAAACGGGACAACTTTTCGATCGTTTACTAGTACTTTTCCTTTCTTTGAGACGATGATGATCCGTTGCATGGCTCTTTCTTATGGAGTTTACATTTCTAAGTTGGTTCGATATGTGCGTGTTTGTAGTAACCTCTCAGATTACAATTACATTAAAAAAAAAATTAAAAACCTTGAAATTAGGAATTCTGTCTTCTTCACTCAATTTCCGTCGGTCAGACAAACGAATAAGTCACGTGACAGAGATTTTGACGTGAATGACCTTTTAAATTGATTGTCTATTTTTTTTTAATTTTAACTTATTTTCGATCTATCCATCCATATCGCCGCCTTGACTAAATATAGTAGATAGGGATAACTAAGGCAAAAATACGAGGATAGTCAAGATCCATTGAAAAACTTATTTATTTAATTTGCGAGATGAATCGTTTTTGGATTTATTACACTGTAAAGGTGATTTTTTTTCACAAATGTATATTTTTAATATTAATTTGGAAACATTAATGAATGGTGAGAAACGTCATTGCTGCATAGTTGAAACAAATTGACATCTACACACAATAATTTTCATTGTTGTCAATAATGAAATAACTGGCGTATTATTGGAGGGTCATCTAATTTTTTTTGATTGGGGGGTTTTGAGTATATTGTAAATATTTTCACCCTCAGGCTGATGTAAGGTACATAACCCTGTGCCAGAAAACAATATGTTGAGGACTTGGAGTTTCAATTGAATTTACACGAGTAGCTGCAATAATTGTGAAAATAATTGTTTCCAGATAAATATTAAACGCGATTAAGACGAATTCATATATAAGTAATAGTTATACACCGAGGGATAGGTGTGTCTGGATAAGAAACCCCGTCGGCCGGAGGCCGGAGGGGTTTCTTATCCAGACACGCCGTATCCCGAGGTGTATAACTAACTTACACCCCATTCTAAACCCTATATTTGTTGACATTGATTATTAAATGGAAAAAAAAAACGATAGCATATTTATTGACAATATCAAACCATGATTTATAAGAATATTTTTTTATTACAATAAACCCCACTAGTAACCTTTATTTGGTTATCTTA